AAAAATTCAAAGTAGGAAAAGTACCACTTCCGGTTATCGGAAATCGCTCAAAAGTTGATACGGATCTACGATTTTGATAAAATACTTATATATGAAATTTCATCAACCTAGCTGTAACGGTACTCAAGTTATCGTGTTTACACACGGACAGACACACACACAGACAGACACACACACACAGACATACGGACAAGATTGCAAAATTATGTTTTTCCGTATCAGTGAGGTGTAAAACGTCGAGATTTGTAAAAATCTCGATTTTTTTTTTTGCACGATTACAATACTTTCTCTATACTACGTATATACGAGAAAGTAAAAAAACCACAGGATGAAAACCGTGGACTTTGGAGCATTCTATTAAATGCTACTAATCTTAAGTTTAACATACTTACCATCTACATACTTCATAATAAATATTTTTAGATGAATTATAAAAATTCCTATACGTATACAGCCTACACACATTACATTACATTTAATTAATCCTAAGTTAATTTGCACTCTCTAAATATTTAATACATAAAAGTATTAACAAATATCATGCAAATATATATTTGTGACTTTTTTTCCTGTGACTTTTTTTCCTGTGACTTTTTTTCTGTGTTTTTTTTTTCCTGTGTTTTTTTTTCCTGTGACTTTTTTTCCTACAATCAGAATCCACACCTCCCACCTCCTATACAATCCACCTGTTGCCCGCCTCCCATAGAACCCACCCCTCTGTTACCCACCTCCCACAGAAACCTCCCCCACCTCCCATAGAACCCACCCCTGTTACCCACCTCCCACAGAAACCTCCCCCACCTCCCATAGAACCCACCCCTCCACCACATACCCAGCCATTATTTGCCGTTAAATTGAATCAGCCCCCGCCACCCCCCACCTCCTAGTCCCACCCCTCTCCCTAGCTTTTTCGTTTGGACATGTATCATGTACACAGTCTGAAGACGGAAGTCGCAATAACAAGATGACGACAAAATGTGACGTCAAGTGGTGTCTCATTAGCTGAAAGGTCAAGGGCTGGGCTGGTGGGGTAGGGTGGGGTGGGGGTGGGGGTGGGGGGCGAGTTTTAAAATTATCAGACAACCCAGACACACGGATTGTACACGTATAATTCTACTGGCAGTACAAGTATAATTCTACTGGCAGTACAAGTATAGTTCTACTGGCAGTACAAGTATAGTTCTACTGGCAGTACAAGTATAGTTCTACTGGCTGTACAAGTATAGTTCTACTGGCAGTATACATGTATGATTCTACTGGCAGTACAAGTATAGTTCTACTGGCAGTACAAGTATAGTTCTACTGGCAGTACAAGTATAGTTCTACTGGCAGTACAAGTATAGTTCTACTGGCAGTACAAGTATAGTTCTACTGGCAGTACAAGTATAGTTCTACTGGCAGTACAAGTATAGTTCTACTGGCAGTACAAGTATAGTTCTACTGGCAGTACAAGTATAGTTCTACTGGCAGTACAAGTATAGTTCTACTGGCAGTACAAGTATGCTTCTACTAGCAGTGTACAAGTCTATTGAAGCTTCATGACCCCATCTGCCCCACCATGACCCCATCTGCCCCACCATGACCCCATCTGCCCCACCATGACCCCATCTGCCCCACCATGACCCCATCTGCCCCACCATGACCCCATCTGCCCCACCATGACCCCATCTGCCCCACCATGACCCCATCTGCCCCACCATGACCCCATCTGCCCCACCATGACCCCATCTGCCCCACCATGACCCCATCTGCCCCACCATGACCCCATCTGCCCCACCCAGGGGTGAGCGCCACAGGAAGTTCCCGCCCAACCCCCGGGCATGTTTGGTGGAGCAGCGGCAGGTCTACCTGCGCACACCTGCGGCAGGTCTACCTGCGCACACCTGCGGCAGGCGGACTGGGCCGCTCACAGCACAAACCCGGGGAGAAAAGCCGCCCGCGGGCGCCCAGGCAACCTGCGCCCCATCATGGTAACCTGCGCCCCATCATCTGCGCCCCGTCAATAGGGGCGGTGACGTCTGGATCACGCTATAACAACTCCAGCAACTACACGCGCACACACACACACACACTATCTCTCTCTCTCTCTCTCTCTCTCTCTCTCTCCATACCAGACAGAAGCAGCAGGCCCCACCCCCACCCATGTAGTCGTGAGCCAGATACTGCACGTGTGCCAGCTACTCACACCAGTCACCTGTCCAGGTGGACCTCGCCCGTTTATCGTCCGGTATCTCAAGGTGTCCAGCCGTCGGCCCACAACTAGCAGACGGCGGCCCACAACTAGCAGACGGCGAGTTTATGGGCGAACCCGCTAGACAACACGTCTTACACGATAAACCTGTCGCTACATTCACACACAGTGTATCACCACCCACACACACAGTGTATCACCACCCACACACACAGTGTATCACCACCCACACACGCAGTGTATCACCACCCACACAGTGTATCACCACCACACACACAGTGTATCACCACACACACAGTGTATCCCCACCCACACACACAGTGTATCACCACCCACACAGTGTATCACCACCACACAGTGTATCACCACCCACACACTCAGTGTATCACCACCCACACACACAGTGTATCACCACACACACAGTGTATCCCCACCCACACACACAGTGTATCACCACCCACACAGTGTATCCCCACACACACACACAGTGTATCACCACCCACACACAGTGTATCCCCACCCACACACACAGTGTATCACCACCACACACAGTGTATCACCACCACACACAGTGTATCACCACCCACACACACACAGTGTATCACCACCCACACAGTGTATCATCACCCACACACAGTGTATCACCACCCACACACACAGTGTATCACCACCACACACTGTGAATCACCACATACACAGTGTATCACCACCACCCTCATTGTATCACCACCACCCACACACACACAGTGTATCACCACCCACACACACAGTGTATCACCACCCACAAACAGTGTATCACCGCCCACACACACAGTGTATCCCCACCCACACACACAGTGTATCACCACCCACACAGTGTATCCCCACACACACACACAGTGTATCACCACACACACACAGTGTATCACCACCCACACACACAGTGTATCACCACCCACACACACAGTGTATCACCACACACACAGTGTATCACCACACACACAGTGTATCACCACCCACACAGTGTATCACTACCCACACACACAGTGTATCACCACCCACACACACACAGTGTATCACCACACACACAGTGTATCACCACCCACACACACAGTGTATCACCACCCACACACACAGTGTATCACCACACACACAGTGTATCACCACACACACAGTGTATCACCACCCACACAGTGTATCATCACCCACACACAGTGTATCACCACACACACACAGTGTATCCCCACCCACACACACAGTGTATCACCACCACACACAGTGTAGTGTATCACCACCACACACAGTGTATCACCACCCACACACACACAGTGTATCACCACCCACACAGTGTATCACTACACACAGTGTATCATCACCCACACACAGTGTATCACCACCCACACACACAGTGTATCACCACCACACACTGTGAATCACCACATACACAGTGTATCACCACCAACCTCATTGTATCACCACCACCCACACACACACAGTGTATCACCACCCACACACACACAGTGTATCACCGCCCACACACACAGTGTATCACCACCCACCCACACAGTGTATCACTACACACAGTGTATCATCACCCACACACAGTGTATCACCACCCACACACACAGTGTATCACCACCACACACTGTGAATCACCACATACACAGTGTATCACCACCAACCTCATTGTATCACCACCACCCACACACACACAGTGTATCACCACCCACACACACACAGTGTATCACCGCCCACACACACAGTGTATCACCACCCACACACACAGTGTATCACCACACACACAGTGTATCCCCACCCACACACACAGTGTATCACCACCCACACAGTGTATCCCCCCCACACACACAGTGTATCACCACACACACAGTGTATCACCACCCACACACACAGTGTATCACCACCCACACACACAGTGTATCACTACCCACACACACAGTGTATCACCACCCACACACAGTGTATCACCACCCACACACACAGTGTATCACTACCCACACACACAGTGTATCACCACCACACACAGTGTATCCCCACCCACACACACAGTGTATCACCACCCACACAGTGTATCACCACCCACACACACACAGTGTATCCCCACCCACACACACAGTGTATCACCACCCACACAGTGTATCACCACCCACACACACACAGTGTATCACCACCCACACACACAGTGTATCACCACCCACCCACACAGTGTATCACCACCCACACAGTGTATCACCACCCACACAATGTATCACCACCCACACAGTGTATCACCACCCACACACAGTGTATCACCACCCACACACACACAGTGTATCACCACCCACACAGTGTATCACCACCCACACAGTGTATCACTACACACACAGTGTATCACCACCCACACACAGTGTATCACCACCCACACAGTGTATCACCACCCACACACACAGTGTATCACCACCACACACTGTGAATCACCACATACACAGTGTATCACCACCACCCTCATTGTATCACCACCACCCACACACACAGTGTATCACCACCCACACACACACAGTGTATCACCACCCACAAACAGTGTATCACCGCCCACACATAGTGTATCACCACCCACACACAGTGTATCCCCACCCACACACACAGTGTATCACCACCCACACACAATGTATCACCACCCACACAGTATATCACCACACACACAGTGTATCACCACACCCACACCCAGTGTATCACCACCCACACACAATGTATCATCACCCACAAACAGCGTATCTCCACATACACAGTGTATCACCTACTCTAGTAAGGGGCAGATAACTGCAGCACTCATCTATTGATCAGGCTTCAAGCAAACCTCCTGGTGTCGTGTTTCAATCTTGTAATTATTCTTGTAATTTTTCTTGTCATTATTCTTGTCATTATTCTTGTCATTATTCTTGTCATTATTCTTGTCATTATTCTTGTCATTTTTCTTGTCATTATTCTTGTCATTATTTTTGTCATTTTTCTTGTCATTATTCTTGTCATTTTTCTTGTCATTATTCTTGTCATTATTCTTGTCATGATTCTTGTCATTATTCTTGTCATTATTCTTGTCATTATTCTTGTCATTATTCTTGTTACTTGTGTAGGTCAACTTGCTGACAGCGTGGTCGTGTAGTAGGGCGCTCGAATACCCAAAATCATTACACCCCCTCCACCCACCCTCAGTACACCCCCTCCACCCACCCTCAGTACACCCCCTCCACCCACCCTCAGTACACCCCCTCCACCCACCCTCAGTACACCCCCTCCACCCACCCTCAGTACACCCCCTCCACACACCCTCAGTGCACCCCCTCCACCCACCCTCAGTACACCCCCTCCACCCTCCCCGTAAGGAAACATCTGAATCGAAAACCTGGTGTCAAAATGTTGCAGACGTTATAACATCAGCCTATGCTGCACCTCACGCGATCACGTGTACTCATCCAAGATGGCCGCCACTCCAGGACGTAATTCTAGACCTCGGACAATGCATGACACGCTGACAGGGGATGCTGTGAATCACGTGAGCAGGCCTCTTCTCACACAACTTGACCTCACACACAACTTGACCTCCCTCACACAACTTGACCTCTCTCACACAACTTGACCTCTCTCACACAACTTGACCTCTCACACACAACATGACCTCTCACACACAACTTGACCTCTCACACAAATTGACCTCTCTCACACAACACAACTTGACCTCTCTCACACAACACAACTTGACCTCTCACACAACTTGACCTCTCACATATTTTGACCTCTCACACAAATTGACCTCTCTCACACAACTAGGCTTCTCACTCCACTCAGGTAGAACGTCCCACACCTGATTGTAGGAAAAAAAGTCACAGGAAAAAAAAACACAGGAAAAAAAAACACAGAAAAAAAGTCACAGGAAAAAAAGTCACAGGAAAAAAAGTCACAGGAAAAAAAGTCACAAATATATATTTGCATGATACTTGTTAATACTTTTATGTATTAAATATTTAGAGAGTGCAAATTAACTTAGGATTAATTAAATGTAATGTGTGTAGGCTGTATACGCATAGTAATTTTTATAATTCATCTAAAAATATTTAGTATGAAGTATGTAGATTGTAATTAAATTAAACTTAAGATTAGTAGCGTTTAATAGAATGCTCCAAAGTCCACGGTTTTAATCCTGTTTTTTTTTTTTAAAATACCAACATTAAATTACCGTGAAATGGTAAGTTCGTCTGACTTGCTGCCCTCAACTCATGGCCACAATAGTTATGTTTAGATGTTTAGTTCAACCACCTTTACTGCCCACATTTATCACGCTCATTACATAACAACACTTAGGATCAAAACAGAAAGCCGACAAGGTTCAAAGGCTGTCATTGACGCATGACGTCAACAATCTTCGGACAATGCATACTGAGGAGAGGCCGACCAGAGAATAGCCTACGGCAAAATTTGCCTAAATTTCTTTTATAATTAACTTTTCTACCGCGTATTTAACTAAATACGTAACAAAAGTTGAGATTGTTGTGTAAATTGTATAAACCATAATGCTTTTAACGTCTATAAATAAATTATGCTATAAAAAATACAACCCACAACAATAAACATACAAAATTTTACAATTCTAAACAAATTTAAAAAAATATTTCTAAAAATATTTTTGTGACTTTTTTTCTGTGACTTTATTTCTGTGACTTTTTTTCCAATTTTTTATTTCCACTGTGACTTTTTTTCTGTGACTTTTTTTCCTAGCAAAAACTGTGACTTTTTTTCTGTGTTTTTTTTTTCCTGTGACTTTTTTTCCGTTTACCCCACACCTGCTGTTGTCTAACGGAGACCGTCGGTCGAAACAAGCGCACAGGAAAAATACACAGGCCACTGCAATCCAAACAAGCCGTTTTGTGTGAGGAGAAAACAGCCATTTATTGGGGTAGACAGGTGTTCACTGGGGGGGGGGGGGGGGCTCAATTTATTAGAGAACAACACTCAGTACGTAGAAAAATGTTGGGGGGGGGGAGATTTATGACTGGATCTAATAAAGGCACATTAGATAAATTAAACCTTTTAGCATGTTTTTTTATCCAGTTATGTGTGTTTTTTTGTGGGTTTGTTTGTGTGTTTGTGTATTGTGTGTGTGTGTGTGTGGTTTTGTGTTCATGTGTTAGTGTATTAGTGTGTTTGCGTGTTGTTGTTTTTTTTGTCAGTTGGTTTGATGTGGCTTAAATCCCAATTCCGCTGACCACATCGGCCTACCCTACCCCCCCACCCCTGCCCCACCCTTATGATGATGCTATACATCACCGACCGGCGTGAAGCTCACTAGAACAGACAGAAGAAATGGCCATGGGTTGCTGCCCCTGTCAAACAAATTGTTCCTGACCAGAATCGGATCCTAATCTACCGCCACGTCGACTGGTCATTACATAACAAACACGGTGCCCGGGCCCATTTGGCGTGAGCCGGGCTAATCCCCGGGCCGCACAAGATGCACTCGGCTGCACTGAGCGACGGAGCCGCCTTGAGTTATGGCCCTCTACACGCACCAGACGGGACGCGAGAGTTACGGCACGTGACGTCAGCACCAAGTATGGCGGCAAAAAAACACAGAAAATTAGGGGTGTAAATTGTGGGAGAGTTTTGGTTTGGCTAAGTTTTGTGAGGGTGTAAATTGTGGAAGAGTTTTGGTTTGGCTAAGTTCTGTGAGGGTGTAAATTGTGGGACTGGTTGGGGTTTGGCTAAGTTACGTCACAGTGTCCACCATCTTGTGGCCGGCTCAAGGTGAAGGCCAGACTGTAGGCCGCTAACACCTGTACAGACCGACATTTCGGACACCTGCAATCAGTTTCAGTGGTAAGTGCTGTCACGTGTTCTCCTGTTACACGCGTCGTCTCTTCGCACCCTCATTACACCACAATGGTGACCTCATTACACCACGATGGTGATCTCATTATACCACAATGGTGACCTTATTACACACATGATGGTGACCTCATTATACCCACGTTAATGACCTCATTACACCACAATGGTGACCTCATTACACACATGATGGTGACCTCATTATACCACAATGGTGACCTCATTACACCCACGTCAATGACCTCATTACACCACAATGGTGACCTCATTACGACAGTTTAAGTTCGGCCATATTGGAGGCGTGGCTTTCCTGTCGTCTGATTGACGTATTCTTGACCAACGACTGAAAGGAGGACAACCCTTAGTTTTTACATGTGGCCCTCTAGACTACATTGATGGCCCTCTAGAATACATTGATGGCCCTCTAGACTACATTGATGGCCTCTACTCTACATAGATGGCCCTCTAGACTACATAGATGGCCCTCTAGACTACATTGATGGCCCTCTAGAATACATCGATGGCCCTCTAGACTACATTGATGGCCCTCTAGACTACATCGATGGCCCTCTAGACTACATTGATGGCCCTCTAGACTACATTGATGGCCCTCTAGACTACATGGATGGCCCTCTAGACTACATAGATGGCCCTCTAGACTACATGGATGGCCCTCTAGACTACATAGATGGCCCTCTAGACTACATTGATGGCCCTCTAGACTACATTGATGGCCCTCTAGACTACATTGATGGCCCTCTAGACTACATTGATGGCAATCTAGACTACATAGATGGCCATCTAGTCTACATTGATGGCCCTCTAGACTACATTGATGGCCCTCTACATTGATGGCCCTCTAGACTACATTGATGGCCCTCTAGACTACATTGATGGCCCTCTAGACTACATTGATGGCCCTCTACATTGATGGCCCTCTAGACTACATTGATGGCCCTCTAGACTACATTGATGGCCCTCTAGACTACATTGATGGCCCTCTACATTGATGGCCCTCTAGACTACATTGATGGCCCTCTAGACTACATTGATGGCCCTCTAGACTACATAGATGGCCCTCTAGAATACATTGATGGCCCTCTAGACTACATTGATGGCCCTCTAGACTACATTGATGGCCCTCTACATTGATGGCCCTCTAGACTACATAGATGGCCCTCTAGACTACATAGATGGCCCTCTAGACTACATTGATGGCCCTCTAGACTACATTGATGGCCCTCTAGACTACATAGATGGCCCTCTAGACTACATTGATGGCCCTCTAGACTACATTGATGGCCCTCTAGACTACATTGATGGCCCTCTAGACTGCATTGATGGCCCTCTAGACTGCATTGATGGCCCTCTAGACTACATTGATGGCCCTCTAGACTACATTGATGGCCCTCTACATTGATGGCCCTCTAGACTACATTGATGGCCCTCTAGACTACAGCGCTGGCCCTCTAGACTGCACTGATGGCCCTCTAGACTACATTGATGGCCCTCTAGAATACATCGATGGCCCTCTAGACTACATTGATGGCCCTCTAGACTACATCGATGGCCCTCTAGACTACATTGATGGCCCTCTAGACTACATTGATGGCCCTCTAGACTATATTGATGGCCCTCTAGACTTTAGCGTTGGTCGTAGATTGTGTGGGGACTTTCACTCCTGTCTAAAAAGATGAATCTAGTCAGGGGCGGATAACCAACGCACGATTCCAGGGGAGATAATGTTGAAAAATCGTCAGACATTTTCTGGCCAACGTTTTAAATTTCAGAGTCGGTGAAGGGGGGGGGCGCCGAATAATTCCAGGAAGTGACGTCATTGTGGTCTCGTGCCACGAACAAACACCACGAACGAACAGCATCAGTCACAGACCACAACTAACTACACCCCATTAGCACCCCTGTGTGGGAGCAGAAGATGGATGGACGGGGGCTGCACGGATGTGGGCGGGGGGGAGGGGGGCTCAGAGACTGGGTTGTTCTCTGGGGGGGGGGGATCAGAACTTGGGCTGTTCTCTGGGGGGGGAGCTCAGAACCTGGGCTGTTCTCTGGGGGGGGGGCTCAGAACCTGGGCTGTTCTCTGGGGGGGGGGGGGGGGGGAACTCAGAACGTAGGCTGTGCCCTAACTCATAGTCTGCGGTCTTTTCTCCATGGCACCAGCACGCAGTCCATGCAAGTGTCCAGTGGTGCCCGACCTCATCACACAACACTCACCTCACACAACACTCACACAACACTCACCTCACACAACACTCACACAACACTCACCTCACACAACACTCATCTCACACAACACTCACCTCACACAACACTCACCTCACACAACACTCACACAACACTCACCTCACACAACACTCACCTCACACAACACTCACCTCACACAACACTCACCTCACACAACACTCACACAACACTCACCTCACACAACACTCACACAACACTCACCTCACACAACACTCACCTCACACAACACTCACCTCACACAACACTCACCTCACACAACACTCACCTCACACAACACTCACCTCACACAACACTCACCTCACACAACACTCACCTCACACAACACTCACCTCACACAACACTCACCTCACACAACACTCACCTCACACAACACTCACCTCACACAACACTCACCTCACACAACACTCACCTCACACAACACTCATCTCACACAACACTCATCTCACACAACACTCACCTCACACAACACTCATCTCACACAACACTCACCTCACACAACACTCACCTCACACAACACTACACAACACTCACCTCACACAACACTCACCTCACACAACACTCACCTCACACAACACTCACCTCACACAACACTCACACAACACTCACCTCACACAACACTCACACAACACTCACCTCACACAACACTCACCTCACACAACACTCACCTCACACAACACTCACCTCACACAACACTCACCTCACACAACACTCACCTCACACAACACTCACCTCACAGACTTCTATGTATTGTGACCCACACATACACAAACACATATTAAATTGTAATTAGTCACGTCCCCGTCTCCCCCCCCCTCCCCACACACACACATACCTCAGCTGACAGCACCTAGATGCGACCTGACCCAGACGGCAGTGGGTGCTGGTCATGTGACCCTGGGATCCCATTACGTGTACCTAGTTCATCTTCCTTAAGACCCGGGGGTGGGGGAGGAGACGGTCGGTTTGTTTTAAAAGTTTTAAAAGCTGTTGTGTGATGAACAATGCCTTGTCCCTCTAATGGGGGACAATCCAACGTCCACACACGACGGGAAATGTTATCGCCCCTGACAACTCCTTGTCTCCCCTGTTGGCACGTGATCCACTGACACGGCGGTGCATTTATGTGCACTTAGTGCCCAAGTGCACATTGTTGCCCTCGTTCACGCGAGTCTTTGTGCGTCCCTCAGGTTTTAATTACCAGTCGTCGGGTCTGCTCCGGGAGCCACAAAAAAACAGTTAACAGCATGCCAACCCACGACAAGCCAACCCACGACATGCCAACCCACGACAAGCCAACCCACGACATGCCAACCCACGACAAGCCAACCCACAATATGCCAACCCACGACAAGCCAACCCACGACAAGCCAACCCACGACATGCCAACCCACGACACGCCAACCCACTACAGTACAGCCCGCGACATGCCAACCTGAAGGCCAACCCATGACCTACCAACCCCCCCCCCCCCCCCATGACTGAGTACTCACCATAGCCCGGGTCAGGAAAGTGCTGTCGTCGTACACGTAGAGCGCGTCGTTACAGAGCCCGCTGGCCGTGCGGTCCGGTATGTCCATCTCCAGCACGCGCAGCATCAGCTTCCACTCGCTGTACTCAGCCTCGAAGGTCATCTGGCAGTCGATGTCACGTGGGTACCTCTCGCCCGTGCTGGGCAGGTGGGAGTAGACCACCGCCCCTCCCACCTGCTTCCTCTCGCCACAGTCGCCGCCCTCCATGTAGTCTGCAAGTAGAGGTCACGCGGTCAGGGGGTTACGACATACACACACACACTCACACACACTCACTCACACACACACACACACACTCACACACACACACTCACACACACTCATACACACACACTCACTCTCTCACTCACACACACACACTCACTAACTCACACACACACACTCACTCACACACACACTCACTCACACACTCGCTCAAACACACACACTCGCTCACTACATACACAACATACGAACTAAAACTCCCATAAGAAATACATAATATAATGTGCCTTATGAGTTAAGTGGATTGATATATTTTTATGTGTTGAGAAAGACAAGTTGACAGGTTGAGGGAAAACATTTTTAAGGCATGCAGGTCTAAATCTAATAGTTTGTTGATATGTGGATTTAGGTCTAGTTTTTGTCTTGCGCGTAGGTCTAGTATTTATAGACATTTAGACATATTTGCACGTAGGTCTAGTATTTATAGACACCTAGACATATTTGCACGTAGGTCTAGTATTTATAGACATCTAGACATACTTGCACGTAGGTCTAGTATTTATAGACATCTAGACATATTTGCCCTCTCAGTCCTTCAACGGCTACGCCACTGGGTCATATAACCCAACCACTGGGTCATATAACACAACAACTGGGTCATATAACACAACAAATGGGTCATATAACACAACGACTGGGTCATATAACACAACCACTGGGTCTTATAACACAACCATTGGGTCATATAACAAACTTAACACTGGATTATATAACGCAAACAATAACTCATCTAAATATTATACTATACAATATTTAAATTTAATAAGTTATAGCCATAGAACATGTGCCACGTCCTTATAAAACATGTGCCTTATAGAACAGCACCGTGTTGTGGAACAAGTGCCGGTCGTTGAACAAGTGCCGCCACAAATCTGACACGTCGCCCAGAGTGACATGAGGCGTAGCTTTCACCTGTCCAAATAAACAGGGGATTGGGGGGGGGGGGGGGAGACGACCAACCCTTAGAACCATGAGACGGGGGGGGGGGGAGACGACCAACCCTTAGAACCATGAGACGGGGGGAGGGGGGGACGACAGACCCTTAGGAACAAGAAACAACAAACCCTGGGGGGGGGGGGGGGGGGGGCAGGCTGTAAAAACCACGGCATCGCTAATGTTTGATAAGAGGGGGGGGGGTCCACTGAGTGCTTCAGGTATACAGTAGAATACATCACTAGGCAGGTATACAGTAGAATACATCACTAGACAGGTATACAGTAGAATACATCACTAGACAGGTATACAGTAGAATACATCACTAGACAGGTATACAGTAGAATACATCACTAGACAGGTATACAGTAGAATACATCACCACGCAGGTATACAGTAGAATACATCACTAGACAGGTATACAGTAGAATACATCACCAAGTATACACTTAAAGCCCGTGATGAACCAAAAAAGATACTTTAGGTCTCTAATTAAAAAGAGACGCGTCCTTCTTCTGACGTCAACCATGGCACATCAAAAGACACACAATTATGACATGACATGTCAAACATGACACGTCAAACATGACATGTCAAACATGACACGTCAAACATGACATGTCAACATGACACATGACATGAGTTCAAATCTTAGTTGATCGAGCGCTCTCGATCAGAGCTTCCAAATCAAAGAAAAGTATCGCGCTAAAAAACCTTAACACCTTCAGCCACCAATATTTGCCATTGCAGGTTAAATTACGTCAAATACGTCTATACTAGGTAAAGGGTGCCTTAAATTTATGAAATAATCGATTTTAAAACCGATATGAAGTAGACGTTTCGAAATACGTTTGGAGACTAACGTTATGAAACTTATAAAATTGATTTCTTATAAAATTGATATGAAACTGATGTTTTGAAGGTGATGTTTTCTGCCAAACTTTCCCTATAACAGGGTTGAAGGTGTTGATTCCCTGCCCGCCCAAATTGTGTACCAGCTAATTAAAAACACCGCCGTAATGGGAACAAAACATCTTGTTGTTAGCGGCGGCCAGAAGATTATTGATCTAGACACAGTCCTCCCCCACCCCCCCATCTCCTCCCTAGGGTCGGGCAGGATGGGAAAGTTATTTTAATCACTGACACGACGGGCGAAACTACAAAAAAAAAGCTGAGGGGGTGGGGGGGAGGGTTTGTGCTGGATGGAAAATGACACGGACACGATCGGTCGATGTTCAAAGAGATGACACACAACACATTTAGCATGACACACAACACACAACACACAACACATTTGGTATGACACACAACACATTTGGTATGACACACAACACATTTGGTATGACACACAACACATTTAGTATGACACACAACACATTTAGCATGACACACAACACACAACACACAACACATTTGGTATGACACACAACACATTTGGTATGACACACAACACATTTGGTATGACACACAACACACAACATATTTAGCACGACACACAACACATTTGGTATGACACACAACACATTTAGTATGACACACAACACATTTAGCATGACACACAACACACAACACACAACACATTTGGTATGACACACAACACATTTGGTATGACACACAACACATTTGGTATGACACACAACACATTTAGTATGACACACAACACATTTAGCATGACACACAACACATTTAGCATAACACACCACATTTAGCATGAGACACAACACATTAAGTATGACACACAACACACAACACATTTAGCACGACACACAACACATTTGGTATGACACACAACACATTTAGTATGACACACAACACATTTAGCATGACACACAACACATTTAGCATGACACACAACACATTTAGCATGACACACAACACATTTGGTATGACACACAACACATTTGGCATGACACACAACACATTAAGTATGACACACAACACACAACACATTTAGCACGACACACAACACATTTGGTATGACACACAACACATTTAGTATGACACACAACACATTTAGCATGACACACAACACACAACATATTTAGCACGACACACAACACATTTGGTATGACACACAACACATTTAGTATGACACACAACACATTTAGCATGACACACAACACACAACATATTTAGCACGACACACAACACATTTGGTATGACACACAACACATTTAGCATGACACACAACACATTGAGCATGACACACAACACATTTAGCATGACACACAACACATTTAGCACGACACACAACACAAAACACATTTGGTATGACACACAACACATTTAGTATGACACACAACACATTTGGTATGACACACAACACATTTAGCATGAGACACAACACATTTAGCATGAAACACAACACACAACACACAACACATTTAGCATGACACACAACACATTTGGTATGACACACAACACATTTAGCATGACACACAACACATTGAGCATGACACACAACACAATTAGCATGACACACAACACATTTAGCATGACACACAACACATTTAGCATGACACACAACACATTTAGTATGACACACAACACATTTAGCATGACACACAACACATTTAGTATGACACACAACACATTTAGTATGACACACAACACATTTAACATGACACACAACACATGTAGCATGACACACAACACATTTAGCATGACACACAACACATTTAGCATGACACATAGTACATTTAGCATAAGACACAACACATTTAGCATGACACACAACACATTTAGCATGACACACAACACATTTGGTATGACACACAACACATTTAGCATGACACACAACACATTTAGCATGACACACAACACATTTAGTATGACACACAACACATTTAGTATGACACACAACACATTTGGTATGACACACAACACATTTAGCATGAGACACAACACATTTAGCATGACACACAACACATTTGGTATGACACACAACACATTTGGTATGACACATAACACATTTGGTATGACACACAACACATTTGTTATGACACATAACACATTTGGTATGACACACAACACATTTTGTATGACACATAACACATTTGGTATGACACACAACACATTTAGCATGACACACAACACATTTAACACGACACACTTCTTTGCTCAATTGATGTGTGTGCTAAAGTTGTTTTTATATTTTACACAACTAGAAAAATGTCGCATGATATAGGAGACTGTTTTACACAACTAGAAAAATGTCACATGATATAGGAGACTGTTTTACACAACTAGAAAAATGTCGTATGATATAGCAGAATATGTTTTACACAACTAGGAAAATGTCGCATGATATAGGAGACTTTGTTTTACACAACTAGAAAAATGTCGCATGATATAGGAGACTGTTTTACACAACTAGAAAAATGTCGCATGATATAGGAGACTGTTTTACACAACTAGAAAAATGTCGCATGATATGGGAGACTGTTTTACACAACTAGAAAAATGTCGTATGATATAGGAGACTGTTTTACACAACTAGAAAAATGTCGCATGATATAGGAGACTTTGTTTTACACAACTAGAAAAATGTCGCATGATATAGGAGACTGTTTTACACAACTAGAAAAATGTCGCATGATATAGGAGGCGGCGTGGTTGGAGGGCAGAACCTAAGACTGGTAACCACACTACCCCTTCATAATGTGACTGGTAACCACGCTATCCCTTCATAATGTAAGGTCACAGAAACAGGTCCGAAATGTTGACAGTAACAATGTAATCATGTTCACTAAACTTTGTCGAATATTCTTTTATAAAAAAAACAGGGGATGGGAACTCGGGATATAGACATGATTTTTAATACATTTTAAATACTTAAACTTTTTAAAATAGAATAAAATCTTGTAGAAAAAAGAATTGCACGCCAGTGAACGCCAAATAAAATGTGCATAATAGTGCGGAATATTATTAGTACTTTATAAATTTACATTAGTTTTTGAGAAATCGGAAATAGCGTAAATTAGTACTTCCGTTCAACGTAAATTACTCAAAATTT